GCTGAAGGTGTGCCTCACAGTAAGCCTCATATCCTTTTAGATTAAACTAGCACATAGCAAAGACACGTTTTCGAAAGCACATAGAAGGTGCTTCACCAGTGTGTTGCCAGAGGACAACCCATAGCCAGGGGTGCTGCCTGAATGAAGGTAAGCTAAATGAGTCACTTGCTCCCTCCACTACTGAAAAAAAAACGAGCAGGCAAAAAGATGCTAAGAGCCTCCTACACAAATCTTCACCCCCTTGAAACAGTGCAAGTTGTTTGTTCGTTTTGCTTTTGGATAGATATTCAGCTTACCTGTGTCTAAGAAAACAACAGAAGATTCAGAAACAACCTTTTCTGTAGCCAAATTGTGCTTAGTGATTCCAAGTAAATCCTGAATGGGTGTTTAAGCTCACTACTGTTTCAGCACTATGATTTTCTAGACTTAACACTGTAGATCTTCACATTACTAGAAGGCTAAAATATTTACAATGCTCATCTAAGAATTTTGATTTACCTCTCTATTTACCTCCTTTCATTATACTTGTATCAGTAAATCATATTGTCCTTTTTTTTTTTTTTTTTTTTAATAAAGAATACATTTCCCAATCTGTAAGGCAATACTCTAGAAGTCTTGCAATCAATTGCCAAAGTCCTGTGGTAAGTTTTCTGTACTGAATATGAAGACCTTATGATCTTCATTAGCATACCACAGGTAATTCTCTTCTGCAGAGTTTAAATGAGAATTTAAATTTTCTTCTCTAAAGTATCTTTTAAAAGTGTTTGTAGAATTTTGCCTATACTGAATTAAACAACTTTAAATTATCTAAAAAATTCCTCTATTGAATTGCAGGTGGGAAGACAAGTCCAATGCTTCTGTTATTTTACTCTGGATTCCAGCAGGAGAAAATGTAGGTAGAGGGTACTTTTGAAAATCCTGAAATGCCTCTAAAATTAGAGTTGTGTGCTCCCAAAATAGGGTTTAAACCTTTTAAGGGCTAGCCTGGAAGGTTTACTGTGGAGATAATAACTGCTGAAGTCAGACAAAACCCCATGAACTGGTGTGTAAATATACACTGCAGAAATGGAAACAAAAAAAAATGAGTTTTGGAGAGCACAGAGAAAGAATAAGAACAGTTATGAAAAAAGTGCAGTCACTTTTCTTCTTAGGTAATCAACAACAAATTCTTGATTATAGAGGAAATTAGAGTGAATTTGGTCATGTTTATTCAACAACTGGGATGTAAACGACAATTTTATTGATGGCATTGGGCATATTTGTTTATTTGGAGGAGAGGGATTTTGATCCCAGTTCCTTCTCATATAGGGACAGATTCAACTTCACTGAAGTGAACAGATATATTTTAGTGAGATCTTGATCCATCCTTTATTTTCCACAAGTGAGTTGGGTTTTTTGACTTAAAAATGGTAATTAAGGAAGAAGATTTAAAGTACTACTGATTTATTGCATTTATTGGATATTTATCAATCAATTAAATATGCATTGCAAACATCTGTGTCAACAAGGACTGTAATAACGGACTTTGATAGTTACCATAACATCAGAAAGTATTTCTCTTTCTTTTTCAAGAGAAATACTAATTGTTTAACAAGAATACATTTGCTAATTTCTTTCAAAAAAAGAGACTATTTAAAAGTTGATAATATTTTAGTGATCTGGCTTTTATTGTTAATCTGTTCCAGCATAGTATACTACGTCTACTAAAAAAAAGACATTAAATGATTTTGTGTTTATATTTATTGTCAGCAATACATCAGTTATGTAAAAATAACACAGATGAAAATGTAAGACTTGTTACATTTTCACGTCATCTGTATTAACTGAATAAAGCTTAGTGACAATATACACAAATTTGCAGTAGTTGTACGTAAATATTTTGTGCATTAAAAAAGAAATATACATAATTTAAAAAATAAAAATGCATTACACAATTTACAAATTAACATTAACAAAAAAAGGTAAACATTCATCAGACAGCTGCCTCCTTGTTCTACAAAATAAATATTCAAGTAAATTAAATTAGGCAAAATAAACTCTTAACTTTGCGTGAGCACAATTTACATAAAGGTAAAAAGACAGATTTCCATTTCACTCAAGGTATATTTTACAGTGATTTATACACAGAGTTTTTAAATTGTTCTCTTCAGATTGTAATATTAGAAAACAAAGTTTATTATATTTTGGCAGGAGGAAGGGAGTTTCAAAATTGATGCTTTATACCAAATATAAACAAGCTTGTAAAGTTGCACCAAAGCTTCAGAAAGGAACTGCTCCAGGACTCAAAGCAGACACAGTAATCTAGAAACTACAGATTTAAAAAGGAAAATACAAACCACCACATCAACAGGAAAATGTCTACTTTGCTATTTTCTGAATGGTTTATTTGATCAATGGAAACGTTACCTTCACAAACTAACAATCTACGGTAGTGGCTGCTTTAGGCACTGGATTTGTAGAAGCACTCTGATGTTTAAAGCAAATTACTTTTCATTCTACACTGACAATTCATCTATTATTTATTTCTGTTTCAATGCTAAAGGGCTTAATCACCTATGCAACTTTTAGCTTCACATAAATTTCAGCCCTCTTTATAGTCTAATATTTTTTTCTTGATAACAAGGGAAGCCATTCTGGCTTCAAATTTTCATGCACTTTGTTCAGAGAAAAAAAAAAAAAAAGCACTCTAGATTTTAAGTGCAGCACTGGTATGATGCAGATGTGCAGCAGCAAAATTCACTGCCCAGATATAAAATGTAACGCATACTAAAATACTTGCATGGATTGCAAAGGCCAAATATACTTAAAAATCCTCCTATCTCTTTCTTTCTTTGTCCATTTTATATAGTGAGAAAAAGGAGATGGCATACCTTTAACTTCAAGTTATTAAATTCTTAGATTTAGGACATAAAAATCTTCAAGGCAAGAACTAGGCAACAAGCTCCTGCTAAAACCAGCCAGTATAATAAATAAAGATGACTCATTGCCAATGAAAGAAACCCTCTTTCCTCAGTTCCCTATTGGTCCAATACTATCTGACAACACAGAATTAGACTTTTAAAAGTACAGAAGTCATGATTAAGCTTTACATCTCCACAATAGTTATAATTTTTAAAAACTTTATAACTTTTCCATGTTATTTTTTGTATATCTGATAAAATAGGAATTAACTAGGGTTTTTCTTGTTTTCTACTCAAGAATGCTGAAGTAATTAAATTCATCAAGATTTGTTTTTTTTCCTACGGATCTTTGCAAAGTGATGTAAGACTGAAGCCCTCAGTCCTGCAACACGTAAACAAGTGAACCACTGCTATGGCCACGGCACTTCACCAGCTGCAGCTGGATCAAGGTATAAAATGAGAAATTAAACCTGTACAAAAGATTGTTACTCTCTGTTCATCATTCCCATTTGGGGAAAACTTACACAGTGGGAGGAAGGTCATTTTCTTGATGCAGTAACACCACACGGGTAATGTAATTTAACTAACTTAAAGTAGGACCATAGTCTCTCTTGAACAGTCACAAAATGCACATTGGTTCCAAGAATTATTCTACATGGAACAAAAGCAGGTATTTTTAAGGACTGATGTTACCAATTGATGTTCATGAGAGTCTTGTAATTGATTTCAGTGGATCTGGGCCAAACTTTGCAAAACTACAATTTTATTCCATGTGCAAAACCTGGTGCTTCTTTAGTAAATAGTATGATGAGTAGGCAGAAATGGTTTAGGTTGTAAAAAAGACCTGAGGACCTAATATTGAACTTTATATAACAATTATTTTTGAGCGGTTGCCTGATAAAGTTTTGTATTGCTTATTAGTGGCATAGTCACTTTTATGTTCAGGCTACACATAGAAGCCATTTCATGAGAATAACCCTTCTCAGGTCACAAATCACATCTCTAACAGGCATGTAGATACAATGGCAAGTCAATGAGCTTCATGTCGGAAGCATAACACTGAAAAGCCATAAGCATGGAAGAGGTTAACAGTGAATTTTTATACAGTTAGAGTTTTTAAAAAAGTAATGAGTATTAAAATGGCAGAACTATTGATCTTATTTACTTGCCAGTACACTCAAGAGTTTAACTGAATAATTAAAAGAGTCTATCCAATTATCCTAATTAGAAAAGACAAAAGGGCTCTGAGTATTGCACTGTCAGCGACTGTGAAAACACTCTCACTAGCAGAAGGAAAAAAAAAAAGCAAAACCATTTTATTCTAGTTGAACAAACAATCAGAACACCTTTTTAGACAGTATGTCAACTCAGGATTACAGGGCAACCACTTTTTCTTTTCTTTTCTTTTTTTCTAACAAAGTTAACAAATATAAAAAATCTAGTCATAAACAGCCTTCAAAGTACAAGTAGAAACCAGCAGGACAATCTATACCAGTATAGGTAGATGGGGCAAGAAACTAGACACTTGTATTACTGCCATGATATAGACTACAAATGGCTGCTGTGACGAGGAACGGTGTGTACAGTACATTAGCCGATTCCATCCAGTCGCAGTCCAAACCGAACGCTACTCTCTTCAGGATTCAAGACCTGTCTACTTGACACCTTGCATAAGATACATCATAATCCTTTCTGAAAAGAGGCAGTTTCTATGGCAATACTAGTTAAGTGCATATCATGCTGCACTAATATAGTGCAAAAATTTGCCTTACATGTTGCAAAAAAGATGTAGGCAACAGTTTGTGTTAGAGAAAGTAGAAACGTATTGTAACATTTACAATGGGTGTTCTTTTTCCAGACAGCAGCTGCTAGAAAATACTGAATCTGAGAACGCCTCCTTTCTGGATGTACATATGAGGCCTTTATACTTTGGAGTGATACCAGGACAGAATTTTGCGCGTGAGTAATTGCCCTCTGAAATGCAGGTTAACACAAGTTATCATCAAGTCGTAAACTGTTGAAGTTGCTCAGTGGGTTAATCCCAGTTAATAGTTAATATTGTACTAAGCACTAAAATGCTCTTTAACAAGTATATAATCTGATAGAGCAATACATATGGTTCAACGGAGTATATAAGCTATGCTTGAATATAAAGAGTCATAGACAGCTTGGTACAAACTCTTCATGCGTACTGACTATACTTGGTTAATGTTGCAGGGGCTTCCAACTGTTAATACTATGTCAACTACAGTATTCTGGAGACAGAAGTGGTGCTTATAGTTTGTGAGATTGAGGAAAGACCACAAATCTCCAACTGCAGTGTCTGTTAATATGATTCTGCCAGATTTCTCAGTGTTGATGGTCTAAAGTAAAGAAATAATATCTTGAATATCCGTAGGCATTATGAAATCCATCCTTCTTTATCTATGGCGCAGTTACAAAAAAGAAAAAGTCAAAACACTTAATCCACTCCATAGAAAATCCCTGTGGCTTTGGGTACCTTCTGATTTCAATCCATTAATTTAGACTCCATGAGAGGTTATATTTTACATATCTGCATCTCCATCATAAGCCAAGGTTAAAGGTTTCAGTCGGTTGTTCTGCCTTCTCTGGGGCTTCTTTGGCTTTTTGCTGAAACAATAAGATAATTTGTAAATAGAACAAGAAACTAATAACACAGAAAAGATGGATTTCAGTCTTAAATGAAAGATGAGTGTGTTGTTTTAAGATAATGCAATTGGTTGTTCATTTGTAAAAGCTATAAGCCTAAAACCTTTACTTGGATGTGTTATCTCTTTAGCAACCCAAAGCAACATCTAATTCAAAGTGTAATTGTTCAGAAACAGGCTGTTATGGTGCTCATGTGACTTGATGAAATCTCTGGCAGGTAATCCTGCAAGATCAGTCAGTTTTCAGAACTGCAGTGCAATATTTGGTCATGTTATCAAAGCCACAATCAGTTTCTTTTAAATTATATGATACAAAACTTCAGGGAGATCATTCTCAAAGGTGACTTGTTTGTGCAAAAAATCTTTGCTTTCATATGCACTGAGATTTTCCAACAAAATATTATTTCATGTATGAAAAGCATGAGAAAGTTTTCAGACTTTTTTTGTTTGTGTATCTCTATAGCCTGCCAAATATCAAATACAACTTGCCTGATTACTAGATTTTCTTATTGCTATTTCTCTCTGCATTTTGTGATATGGACACAATGAAATTATCATGGACACAGTACATTCTTAACAGAGGTAAACTGAGTAAAAATAAACTATACACTAAGCTATCCCATATTTATAAGTTCTAACCTCAGGAGAACATGTGTTTATCCATCATCTAGATTACAACCAGAGTCCACTGACCTGAGCTTGGACAAAAGGATAAGGAAAATCAGAGACTGCAGTTCACAAAAGTGCCTACAGGTTTTACAGTGCATATGTAAATGCTTGAATTACAGTCTGTATGGGACTGCTTGTTTGTAAATAATTAAAGAACTCACCAGGCTAGATAGATCATAGAAACAATAAAGATGAGTAAAACAAATGCACCAGCAGCTACACCATAAACCCAGGTCTTCAGCCTCCCATCTAAAAGGAATGAATGTTAGTCAGTAGTGTTTGAGTTAGTCTTGTTGAATTATTAGTTCTGATATAGTATAGAAATACTACTATAATCCAAAATAAACGTCTTCATTAGCAGTTACAGTCTAATAATAGTAAATACTATTAAACAACTGAGCAATAGCTTCTCTGTGCACTTGTGTTTTGCTCTCCAGCCAAAGTCTAGATAATCCGAATGGGAGAGATGTGGGGCGGAGGCAGCAAGTGAGACTCCCAGAAGCCCAGCTCCTGGACCCACTGATAGCAGGCAATCCTGCAGCGTGATCACAGGGCAGTTTATCAGCCCAGGACTCATTTATGCTCTTAGCATCACTTTCCGTTCTAGCTCTAGTAAATCAATCTGCCTGTTATTTTAATTCTTGCTGCTATTTAATTTGATGTTTTAAAATACCTTTAGCACTTTTACCTCATCCATACCTTAACTGAATATACACAACTTTCACTACTGCATAAAGTAATAATTTTTCAATTTCTTCTCCTACCAAATGCAAGTTTTTTTCTTATAAAACAACTTCCCCTCACAGAGCAAGCAAAAATACACCAAAAAAAGACAAGCTATACTCATAAACAGAACAACTGTCTTGTTAATAAGGACTGTATTTATGTGCAGCCTGTGCAGTTTATATTTTGGACATGATGTCCATGCAGGCTGAGATATACATCCCACTGTCCTGCTTGCCTTGATCCCACTTCTTCCAGGAAAGATGGGGTGACTTGTCTGTTTGTGGGGTTTTGCTCTGAATTCAAAATGAGCCTGTAACAATCCAAGGTCAGTGCATGCTGTTTGACTCACTACTTTTATCTGACTCATTTTGCAAATTTCTAAATGGCTTTTTGAAAACATTCTTTTACAAGAAGTTAGCCAACCTTGTTGCACCTCCTTGACAATGAAAATTCCGTTAAAAATCTGAATTATTTAATTTACATGGGGCAAATTTTTTATTTCATGATCATGTATGTTTTCAATGTAAACAAACAGAGATAATTTTTTTCTGACTAAATACTTATTGAACAAAAAGGCATTATCAATGCAGCTGATGTTTCTACAATGTGATAGTAACAAAAATTAGTCAGACTGACTTTGCTCAGAATCACAGTAGCCCTCTATTGCTCTGCAGTTAAGTTCAGGCTTTCTGTTCTCTAGCAATGCAAAGTCTTGCAGTCATGTGAACAACTTATTCAAGGCTAATAAAAATAAAATTACATTAATCAACCCTATGAAACATTACATACTGATAACATACATTATAACTGATAATAACTGGCATAACTGAAATAACTGATCCATTAAAGATGTATTGAACAGTAGATTTGACCTGACATATCCAATGATAAGATAACATAAATGAGAGGAAACCAGACTTCATTCAGTACTGCTAAGTAGGTTAGTTTCTTCTCTCCTTGGCTTATTTCCATTTGTAAATGTAAAGAGTTTTGGGGTGGTTTGGGTTTGCTTGTTTTAAAGTAGTATTATCTCCTTGGAAAAAAATGACTGGCATTACCTTGTGTATGGATTTATTTATTTTTGTCAAAGCAGGGAACTCTGTTAATGAGGTCGTTCATATTATGCAACTACAGGCACCTAACTCAGGCTTTCTGAATTCCCCCTGGACAGATTATTTCTAAGTATACAAGGAAATCAGCATGTCAGACTCATCTGTTTTGGGGAATACATCTGCACAGACACCTGGAGAGGATAGTTTTAATACTTTCCTTTCTGGAACTGAAATACAATTTGTTGAAGACTATGAAAGAACTATTGTAAATCTAGACTTGGAAACTGTGAGGAAAGGAATAATCATGCTAGAGTAAATAAAAACCTTTCCAAAAGATACCCAAACTTGGAATTAAAACAATCAAGCATAAATCTCATTTGAAGTACAAAATGTTCACTTTCTTCCACATTTGCTCATACCTTCACTGGATAAAATATTAGTTATGTTGAATACTGTTGTTTTTATCTGAGCTGAGCTATGTTTCCTTCCTAACTTGAATTACTGGAAAATTAGTGAGTTTTCATGAAATCTCTCAACTGTTCCTTGTTCCAAAAACCATGTCTGAGCTCGCATGAGCAGCCGTGTTCCTAAACAGTAAAGCGACTGTCTGACTTTTGCTTATTGTCAGCACTCTGGCTGCTATAACCCACCCTCTGGCATTTTCAGGTGACATTAGCTAGAATAAGTAAAAAGTAACATATTTGGTAAGATGCTGTTTTTTAAAGGAGGACCAGAAAAGCTTAATTTTCTTTTTTTATTGTGGATGAATGTATTAACTAATTGGAGTAAAGACCATTTTTATTGCAGGTATCAAATATAGCATCACAGTACAAATAACAGTAAATACTAGTAGGACTAATGGGATCTAACATAAGTATTTCTAACCCAAATATGATTTAATCTGCTTATTACAAATATTGCTGTAGTTCTCCATTTGCAGCATTTTACGGATTATGCATGTAAAGATACTGTTTTAAATACTCAGATTAAAAACATCCATAAAAACTTTAGAAGGAAATGAACACCCTAAGACATAAGTGTGTTATATAATATGTAATATTTAGCTCCGTGTGATTTAAAAGACACTTAAGAAGATAACCAATTGCTCTCTTCATATAATTAACAGATTGGACAAACATCACATCTCTTTCTGTGAAAGTATTTTGTTAATTAAAGTTTTCTTTATCTCAGTGCTTAATAGTACCAGGAAATATTTACTGAAATCTGATTACATGGTGGACTTTATAAAAGTATTTTTGATGGGATAACTCTCTTATATATTTCTTGCCACTCTTGCACAGAAGTCCTTGCTCAGCTTTAAAGAAATATGGTCCATAGTAAGACCAAGTATTATCTATAGAGACTTTGAGCATGTCTATGCTAAATTTCAATAATATGATTAGCTCTTTCCTAACAAATTATTTTAAATATGGATATGGCAGAAAAGCAGTAGCATCTCTATACTGACTATTTTCCTACAATTTATGTTGTGGCTGTGATTTTTAAGCAGCCCTTACCCTCTGTGGTCTTCACTACTATGATTTCAGTCCTCTGTCAACAGCATTATTGGTTGAGATAGTGTAATCTAATATCCTGGCTCACACCTTTGCAGCCAACTCCCTTCTAAAGTGACATTTCAAATAGCTTCTGTGATTTTTAACAGATAGAAGGGATTAAAAGGAAATCTGCAATACAAGATTTCATTAAATATATTGATGGAGCAGCTGAGAAGGCTGGGGGCTTGTTTATGTCGTTTTCAGTCACAGCAGATGCATGTCTTCTTAAAAGAACACTTAAGAGTTTTTCTTTTCTTCCTTGGCATCATAAAAATGTAAATGCCAAACCCTGCAGCAGTCCTTAGCATTAAGAACTGCTCATCACATAACTTCACCTGGCCCAAAAGGCTGTAGAAACCAGGTCCTTCCTCGTCCTGACTGGTTACTGGAGGGCTGGGTAGGGTTCACAGCTCGACTGGTTTTCACATCTCCCTTTTTGTCCTCCATGGTGGGGATCACCACCACTGGGATGAGAGTGCACTGTTCGAGTGTGCCATCAGAAGACATAACTTCAGTGTATCCGTCTTCACAACTGCATGTTCTAGTCTGTAGGGAACAAGTGTTTTATACTGTGCAGCAGAAAAACACAGTTTTCTGTGAGCCATAAAGCATAACAACATGGATGACAGGAAAATAAGACTTTTGATGAGTGCTAGCCTAGAGAGTACCTCTTATTATACACAGGTTCACACCAAATCAACAGAGATTATTTAACATTTAATTGAAAGGGAGTAAATGGTCTGAGGTTGATTTTAACAAATTAATGATTAGCAAAATCTCTGAAAATACTTTTTGTTGGCATAATCTTGGTAATGCAGAGGGATGTGCGGGAAGCCCTCATGGGGGTGTTTTATGCTCCAATGCAGCAGCACATACCTCACTGCAGTAAGCGTGGGGTTGACTGCATGGTGGGTTACATGACCTGTCAGCATCTGGTTGGCGCATCACTAAACAGCCCCCTGTAGGACAGAAAATCATATTTTGACATGGTAATACCTCACCACTGATGAAATTACTGATGTCATTATTTGCTACAGTATGTCATGCATTATAATTTTCTTGCTAATTTGAATTTAAGTCCTTCTCTTATTCCAAGGTGAAGGGTAATTGGTATTAAGGTAGAGTAAGGATATAGCACATATATTTGCATTCATGTGCATTTCAGAGAACTAGTATTTGGAAAGTGAACCTTTTTTTTTTTTTCCCTTTCTTCCTTTGATATATTGCTCAAAAGACAGTTTAAATGTTTTGCTGTGCTTGAGGGAAAAGTTTTTTGTTCTTTTGGGCCCTCCTTAGAACTCACATAGAAAATAAAAGCATATCTTTTACATCTTTGCCTGTCAAACTGGAAACAAAATACTCATTCAGTTTATGAATGGATACCTGTTTTCTGCTGCTCCTCAGTAGTCACTTTTACACATGCTATAGCTTTGCCTCTTATGAAGCCACACTCCATGCTAGTCTAAGACAGATTTCTCAGAAGGAAAGAATTATTATCAGTAAAGTGTGTACTGAATGCTAGGACACTGATGATGGGTTTCAGTCTGTTCCTTTTTTTTATACACTCCTAGTTCTCATTGCTGCAGCTTTATGTCTGGTGCAGTTATTGTTATGGACCAATACATGCAATCAGGCTTTCACTATCATTTCAGCCAGAATGACTTTAAAATATGCATAGAATCAGTTTGAATGTACCTAGGTTTCCTTCCGTCTTACAGAAGAGGGATATGCATCATGTAGTTTATAATTTATACTGCTATAGGATGATTTATTTTGCATCTCCCAGATTAATAACATTTTTATACTGGTGTGATATGATTATGAAATCCTGATAGCTGAGGTTGGTCACAACCATAGCAGATGCAGTTAGATGTAGTTATGTAGATTCAAGTGTTAACGGGATGGCTGATGTAGAACAAATTAAACCCTGCTGGTTTCCATAAGTTTTCCCCACCCCCAGAAAGAAAAATTGTACGCCCTAGCATACAAATCACATGCCTGTGAGAATCTATGTAATAAAATATTACATAGGAAGCTGCAGAAGGAAAGAGTTGCCTCATCGCCCATGGGAAACAACACCTTCAAGTAAAAAAGAACTATTCAGCACAATAATATTATGCAAATAAATAAATAAAGGCCATAAAATACCAACAGGACTCATAATAAAAAATCGATAATGTCTGAATTAAAATACACTATGTTAGAGCCAAATGTGCAGCAATAAGGCATCAAAGAAACGCAGTAATTGGAGATATAGGTTGATTCTAGATCAAAGTAGGTAATCTCAATTTAAATCAATTCTGTATGTGCATTTATCAATTTAAGCTTTTAAGTACTGTAGTTTATAAAAGCTACTTTCAAAAAAATGTTCAAATGTAAATTACAATTTGGCTCAGGAATGTATACTTCATGCAGAGAATTTATTGCAGAACATTATACTTAAGTGCTTTGTTTGAAAATTATCAGGAACATATAAAAAACCACAGTTTTGCATTGTATGAAAACTGGTGATTACTTTGTCTGGAGTTTTCCTCTAGTCTTAATTTCAAATCAGAAAGTTATTGCAGCTTTAAAACCAGGTACAAATAAACTTTGAAAAAAGAGATGCAATATAGGTCCAAGGTTAGTCTGCCTAGCAGGTCCCGTCATGAAAAGTCTGCCAACAACACATATTCATACACTTGTCTTTCCTGGAATTTATCATATGTCTGTATCCAGCTATATCAGAACAAGCTATTATTTTTATATGTCTGACTGTAATTTATGACTATATTCTGATTTTAACATCTCAGAGCCATAATTGCCAAGATGCTATTTATTTTGAAATCCTGTTGGACCTTTAAGAGATAGTATAATATATTAATCTCAATAGGAATTCTTACTTTTATGGTTTTACTTACCATACAAGCATCTTAATTAAGCAGGAAGCAATCAAGGTGCATAAATAATGCCCTGTTGCATTCATTGTGAAGATGATGTATTTTAATATTCTTAAGGTGGCACTTGCAATATATTAATCTCAATAAGAATTCTTACTTTTATGGTTTTACTTACCATACAAGCATCTTAATTAAGCAGGAAGCAATCAAGGTGCATAAATAATGCCCTGTTGCATTCATTGTGAAGAGGATGTATTTTAATATTCTTAAGGTGGCAAGGTGGCACTTGCAAAAAAGATTTTGGGCTATTAAGTATTAGTTCAAAACCTTGTAAAAATAATACAGATATTTAATTTCTACTGATACAACAGACAGTAGTGGTGGATTATATCATCAAGAAGTATTGTATTGGCTCTTCATGAATTAGAGTTCCTTTTCTTTTACTGTTACCTGGGTTGATATAAAAATTATTTAAAGAAGAAATGCATAACTCTTAGCTTAACTGAATCCCTAATTCTGGTAAGTAAATTCATATAAATATGATGTATATGGAGATTTTTTAAAATAAAACATTCCAGGTCCAGTATGGAAGATAAAATTTATATTTACTTTTAGCATTACATGCTGCACAATTCTGGAAAAGAAATTACATTGTTAATATGCAAAACCATGATGATTCAAGACAACAGCATGTTGATTCATACATCAGGACCAAGTGTTTTTAGCTTTATTTAGAAATAAAAAAAATATTTCCATTTGTTGGGAAAAGACATTATCTACCCATTTTTCAGGCTTTTGTGGGTATATAAAAAGAGTAGTTACCTGTGACATTTAAACCATCTGACCTTTGGCACCACACGGTCCGAGAGGATCCCTTCCATGGGCTAGCCATCCACTTGTATTCATAGCACTGGCCATCTACACAGAGAACATTCACTTTTCAAGAAATCTGATGGCAGGATTTTAGGCTACAACTGGGGACAACCACACTCATCATTAGCCCATACTCATTATGTTTAATGGCTTTTATGGCTAAGTAGGCCCCTTCCTCCCTCACCCAGCAACTTAGAAGGCTGCACTGCACACATGGAGGCCCCAAGATCTCCTGCACTTACTGGATACATACAGAATAGACCAGATGTGTCCCAGACACAAACGATAATGGTTGTACACACTGCATGTGGAGTAAGCCTAATGTAGCTAATGGGCAAAACAGATGTTTCCAATAACCTCATAATAGTTGTGGACCATCTGTTGCACAAAACTCCTTTCGGAGTCAGGTTCCTTTCCTGGTAATGCTGAGCTTCAGCCAATGCTCCAGTGCTTGGTGAAGTCGGCTACATCCAGTTTCGTGTCTCAGCTCTGCTGTACACCTCTCATATGGCCTGGGATAAATCATGAAGTCCTTCTGCATTTTAGCTCCCTTATAAATATATAATTCCTTTTTACCTGATCTGTCTGGCATATGAATGGGTAAGAAATGTCTGTACAGGAAATGACTTTTCTTAGGTACTTTGCCCAGTACCAGCAGTAAGCATGACTGAGGCTTTTGAATGTCATTGTCATGAGATTAACAACAATTCAAAAGGTAAAGAGAAATCTAAATTTGGTTATGTATAAAAATTTAAAGATTTATTTTTATTATGTGTTTAAAGTGCTAACACAGGATAGTTAGAATTTGAAAGTTTTTCTATTTACAGTTGATATCTGGAAAATAAAAATGTAAGGACATTACTATGTCTATCAAATCCATATTTGCCTAAATTTGATACCATGAACAGAAAGAAATTATCATATTGTTCTGTATTTTTTTCTTACAGGAAATGGCCTTGTGTGTATTTTGGTGCTTACCATTGCATGGTCTTGTTTCCAAAGCCTGTTCTGGACAGAGATGTTGATTCTCTAATTCCTGAATGATCACTGCCCGAGATCGGACTTGTATCCCTCCAAAGCCAAGATCCTCACCATTAACACAGGTTAGCTGGCAAAGGCTCCATTCTGACCACTCTCTCAAGTAACAGTCCCCTGTCAAACAACAATTTTATCAGATGAATGGTCATCATATGTGAAAAGTTTTTCACACTGGTCTAGTAGAAAATAGTAATAAAAAGATTATACAAAAGCCTCTCTGTTCTAAAGCAGGGCAGTTACCTGTAGCATTCCCATAAGATCGCTGTCATTTTTAATTTCTGAGGAACTTTCCACCCAACATTTGGATTTTCATAAACTGTAGGATATTGTTCATTGTATGCCTTATGCTAAATTTATATATCTTGTTCAAAATTCATCTTTCATCTTAGAAAGAGAAAACATTGTCTAATTTTAAAAAATTAATTGTTGCTTATCCTCATGCAGAATTTGTCTAAACAGACAGTAGAAGTGACTGCTGGAACATTCTTTGCAAGAAAGGGAAATGGGAAGGTGATTAAAATGTCTGCTCTGGCTATTTCATGTTAGGATAATAGAGATTTGTAGAATGTTATGGTGTAAAACTGAAAAATAAAACTATATTAATGACACAGATTAGCATGATCAGCTAAAGAACATTTAAGGAAGGTCTGAGGCACAACACAAAGAGACCATTTTGTTAAAACTGCAGTAGAAAATGGGACTAGACTGTGTGCATGCAGACTCATAAATAAACCTCTTAGTTCTCATTATTTCAGTGAAAGGGCTATTAAAAATTCATGCTACCTTGCATTATACTGATGACAGATATAATCAGTACTGTGTTGACCAGATGCCTGATTAATGAAGGAATTTTATTTGCCAACGTTAGGAAAGCATGTGAAGAAATGAATAATTGAAGAACTAATGTATACATAATAGAAAAACAAGTAGTGATTTTTGGAATCATTAGTTGGAGAATGTCATTAGCACATCCCCACAAGGTAGTTATTCTTGATGGCTAAATGTGAGATTGTTGAAGAACAGGTTCCTGCTCAGCGAAATTTTAAAAGCGAGCAGTAAGCAGCTGTATTTTTTTTTATATGTTTGACTAAAAAGAAAACATAACTACAAGCTTTTTATTCTTACAATTTTCATTTAATAAGTAAAAATATGTGAAAATCATGCAATTGGAATGCTCTGCAAAAAGCAGTGTTGGAAGCCTCTCTGGTTTTGATTGTTTTCTGTTTATTGAGGCAAAGTTCAATAAACAAAGTTCAGTCCAATCTGACATGAACTGGAAAAAAATACTGAAAAAGAGAAAAATTGCAAGTAAACAAAAATAGAGTACTAGTATGGAATAATAGCTATAATTTAACTGAACAAGTTATTCACTACTTCTGATGATACATTGGTAATGACTCTACTGAACAGCAATAATACTTCAAATTCTACAAATAAGTGTTTGAAATTAACTGGAGGGGTTTTACTAGAAATTAAACAGCTGTTATAGGCTCTTAATCTTTCTCAGTATGAAGGTCACGGACCTGATCATTTATAACAGCTCCTTTGGATTCAGTCTACAAGGACAGTGACAGTGTATGTCATGCCTAGCAAGCTAAACAGCTAGAAACACTCATATTTTTTCAGAGACCAAAATATTATTTTCATTTGGAATAGCCTTTTTAAACAACAACAACAACAAAAGACTCCCTAGCTTTGCCTTCTTAGACACCCATAAAAGCTATCATGTTCTTAGCCACTGTTAGGTGATCTAAGCTGTTAAAGCAAAACGTTTAGCTATAAATCAAGACTCCTTAACACAAGTTTTATTTAAAAAGATTTTGTGAAAAAATATATTCTTATTAGGTTCAATCTGTGACTGAGACATGCCTTTTATAAAATTTAAAACCTGTTATTTTTTCTAATTGATTTATTGTCATGAAGCCACTACCAGAAAGTAACTCTGTTGGTCATTTGATGGATGAATCCAATCAGTAAAGCATGTGAAAAAGATTTAATTGTCTGTGGCTAATGCTAGGCACTGATTACTGTAATGATATCCAAGCAATCTTGAAATGCGACATTTATTTGAATAGGTTTGTTACCTGGACAAGGGACAGCGCAGGTTTCCTCGAGTATCATCTTCTTATTACCATCTATAATAGGCTCTATTTCGCCACAGAATTCCTCATCTACTACTTTGCCAACATCTTCAATGGATCCATCAAAAACCACACAGGAAATGTTCCTCACTCTTGTTCCCTCTCCACATTGAGCATCCTGGGGAAGGAGGACATACATGCATGCTGGATAGAAGAAAGTGTCAAAAAACTAGATTTGAGCTACATGTCACTCTGTCTCATTTTTTGCTTAACTACTTATCCATTCCTGGGGGGGGGAGGGGGGATGGTGGTGTAGAATTTGTTTACTTCTGAAACAAATAAACAAACAAAAACCAAACAAAAACTCAGCTGGCTGCTACCACTGTTACTTAAAGTATGGAGAAAATAATGCCTTTGAATTTCAACCACAGCAGTAACTCAAGTGGAGATCTCTTTAAGCAGCTGTATCAGTTTCCACAGAATTTTATTTTTTTTATTTTTTTTTTTTTTTACTATAGATTTCAATTATTAGCAAAGATGCTGCTTGGGTACCAAAGTTGGCATTTATGTTTTGAATTTCTGTAGGACATTGTTATATCTGTTGACAAATACAAACTTTAAGAATAAATCTTTAGTTTTTGTATAAGAGAGGTGGAAGCAAATTGTTTACGCTGTTATGAAGCAGGTATCTGAGCATATCACAAATATGCCTAGATATACAAGCTCTATAAATTAAAAGTCCCATATGGCTTTTACCTCTACTTTACATGCAGACCATTGACCATATTGCCATCGATAACAAGGTTTTACTGGACAGGGTTTGAATTGCTCCATCTGAGAGGGACAAGGCCTCCCATCACCCTGAAATGGCTGATTGATGGTCCTTTTTCTAATCATTTTTCCTGTAAATGAGAAATAGCAATATAACTAACAACAAAGTGGTTAGAGTGATTTATTCCTCAAGATTGTTCTATTTTGGTGAAAAGTACAGTGTTTGAATAAAGTAATTTTTTCCACATTTGACAAATTGGATTGTAAAGCAGATCCATGGGCTCTTGGAAAATGTAAACCCATATAACAGACAAGTTAGACACTATATTCTATCATTTGTACTGCAAGAATTGCAGGAGGATCTTTTATTAGGACTTCAAATTGCTCTTATAACAGCAAACAAAAGCAGGAATTTACCCAGTTCAGAAGCCTGGGGAAAAATACTCTTTCTGAATGTGACAATATGTTTGTGGCATTTCAGTAGAAACTCTGGCTCCTCATCTGGAGTTTGCTGCTAGAGAAACCAATTTGTTATGTTCTTCCCTGAGTTAATACAGAATCATGTGTCCCATGATTGTCTGATTCCCACAACCAAGAACAACTTGCAACTTTCCCTCATTGTCTGTCTGGATAACGTAACATGAAGATTTTGCAGTGGATGAAGGATTCTTCACTTAGGCCCAAAGAAGATTAAAATACAATAGGCTTATCCAACACTAATCTTCTCTTCAACCATGAGTAGCACGCTACACAGACTCGTTGAGATACAAATTCTATTTCAAATGCTTCTATAAACAGAAAGAGGAAGACATTTCTATCCTTTCGGCAGCTCTTGCTTCTTTCATCTTGCAGTGAATATTAGACCATTATGGTTCATTGCAGAGAGGTCATGTCATATAACCAAAATAATTTTTGTGTGCCAGAAGTAGTGGTAAAGTGATTGCTCTAGACTTGGTACCTCACAAATGTTTCCACAAAAACAACACAGCTGTGTTATTTTAGTCTATATATAGATATGAATATATGAACCAAGTCTGAAATAAGATGTATATGTTTAAATTTGTATGCTGAGGCTTATAATAAACTAAGGAATTACATAGATTTATGTACATAATACCTGGTGTTAGCTGGCCAAAAAAAAAAAAAAATCTTTAATTCCACATTTCAATCTGATGCATTTGGAATTGAATAACCTAATGACTGTGACATGAACCTTTTGCTGAGAGCAAGCTACAAAAGCCACGATGCAGCAGCAGAACTACATCAGTTTCCCAGACTGATAGCTAGTAAGAAAGATGTTTACCAAGCAGAGCCTCATCATTCTTGGATTCACAGCTGCTCCAACTGAGATGTTACAGGAGAAAAAAAGATTTTCTTGAAAAGTATTGGAGGAAAAAAACCAAAGAACAGGAACGAGCAGAATTCCTACATACAGAATTCTTCCTCAACTTTATGGGTATTTGCATGGGTGCACAAGAGTGATTCAGCTTTTTAGTCACTGGGTTTATTAGATGGCTATTACTTAATGAAAAACAGTAATTATTTCCAACTTCCTGCCTAATAGGAAAATTATTTCTTCAAGACTTACATGTGAGGTTGCAAACATCTGTTAAAACCACTGAAAATTTGAAAGCTGTTTTACATTACTATTTTCTCACTCCTACAAATAAATTCTATACTTGGAAAGCACTGGGATTTCAGATAGTGACCCACCTTCACATTTTGGAAAAGCATAGCAACAATAAATCTCATTGAGGAAAACATCAAGTCATTTACTCAGGTCTTGTATATAAGCAGAAGCTTGTAAAGGAAAATCTGTCAACGCATTTAAGGCTTCAATAGAGCTGTTAGTTCAATTCTCACTCTGTAAGGGTTATTTTGAATATAGAAGTGTAGATTATTTGAATGTAGAAGTCATGCTTTGAGAGGTAACTGAATTGAAACATTATTACTTTATTAGATACTAGTAACAAATTATGAACTGTTATCATTAAAAAATCCTAGTGTCTTTCTGTTGGGATCCTGAGGTAACCAAAGCTTTCAGGTGTTTTTGCCTAGACCTTTTCCCTGTGGTGCACTCCCCAAGGAACACAAAGAGATGCAATATCCTTTTACTCTGAGCCCAGCAGCTGAAACTGGATTCCATACTCTGCTAACCATCCAATATCTGTAGTGACATATTCCAGACATGATTACAGAATGAAGAGGCTTTATAGGTAGGCTTCTATCCTTCTCCTTCAGTAGTCTGTGCACCTTAGTTGCCTGGCACAATGGTGCTTTCAGGTTCTTTCAGAGACATATCAGTACAAATAAATAACAAGTGTTTCTCCCATAACTAAAATGTGCCTTTGATATCTATGCTCTGACATAGATTTGATTTAAGAAAAACTTAGATAATGTTTAGTAACATTTTGGAAAAAACAAATTATTATGATCACAGTGAAAGTACATTGTCCCTCCACCCTTTTTCTGTGTTTAAAAATATGGAATTCTGCAGTGAGTTAATTTTTTCGTTTTAATCACTGTCCTCTTCTACAAGTTTATTTGTTCTAAACTCACCACTAATGAAACTTAAGAGGAAAATCCTCTCTCCTCTTCCTCTCCCCACTCACTGCAAAATAAATATTCACATCAGTGTTTATTTTTGTTTCAATATATCATTCATCATATCTCACTTTTTTCCCAAAGTCAGAAACTATTCTGGGTCAAATTCTCACTATCTTCAGTGAGCACAGTCTGACTGAAGCACATTATTTCCATGAATAAGGCTGATTTAGTTTCCCATCACTCTAGTTAGCTAGCTACATTTACCAGTTCTGTGAAAAAGGATATTATTACTTTTATTAAAGAAAAAACAAACCAAACCAAACCAAAAAAAAACCTCAGTCTTTAAAATACACCAAAGATACATACTGACCTGTAAGGCCACATGTTTGAGAGCACTCAGACCAAGGGGACCAGTCAGAGAGCTGACAGTTCACAGGACATTCCACAACACAGGATGTATTCATTTGCCATGTCTTCTCCAAACCAAGCTAAAGAAAAATAGTCAATGGTCAGCATGTCTGTGGTCACCCAGTCTGTGGCATCGGTGCAGGATGTGCATTTGGACACAGTGAATCTGAGACAAATAAAGCTTTAAGCAAGCATGAAGTCATTGCTAAGTAAAAAGTAAAGCAATCAGGATATTTAAAAAATCTCACTTCAAGGCAGTCCTAATGCATATGCCGATTTTTAAATACATGATTAAATAATATTTTCACCAATTATTTTCTAAATTAGCGCCTATAAATGGCAGGCTTCAGCTCTAGAGTATTACTTTATATAATAGGTAAAGGATAAAGTAATTTATGAAGTATTAATAAAGTATTTTGAAATAGGAATATACAATATTCAATATACAAATATTGAACTATGAATAGCTATTAAAAGCTGAATTCAAATGATGCTAGGAGTCAGGTTCAAAATTAACAAAAGGAGGAGGATGGACATGCATTGGTTATTTGTCAGAAGATGTTGCAGACGCTAAAAGTTTACAGGAGTTCAAGAAAGACTGAACAAGTTAATGGAAGAGAAATCTGAAGGTTTAAACAACCATAAACCCCATTGGGCAAATACAGTCCAAAAGCTGAAAACAGGTGGAGGCTGCAAGAGGAGTAGATGGAAACTTGTCCTCCTTTTTCTTCTGCTTATGCCTCTCTTGTTTTTTTCTTAACATGATATGTAAGTTTATTATACATATTATGCCATCCATTCTACTGTATCTACCAATATAAAAATATTGCATAACATTGACAATGGTTTGTTCAAAAAAAAAAAAAAAAAAAGCTTTGCAAATTTTTCTTAAAAGCTTTGTAAAAAGCAGAATCCTCTAACAACCCTAAAGTAAAAGCTGCAAATGCTAGAGGACTATGAGAGAAGGGGACACAGAAGATAGCAAGACTCACATTTTGCCAGAAATGCATTCTGTATTGAGCCCTTCTCCTGGCAGAAGTCAGCCTAATACTAAAAAATGATGGAACTCCCACAGGGAAGGAAAAATTTTAAGGCCGTACTTGGAGATGGCACAGTGGCTACATGGTCCTTTGGTCTGATCCTGTAAAGTAATTTCTATGTTCTTATAAATTGGAGATGGCACAGTGGCTACATGGTCCTTTGGTCTGATCCTGTAAAGTAATTTCTATGTTCTTATAAACTCCCATTCTCCAGTTTTTTCTCATCCAGGGAAGAAAAGAGATATTCTCGCTAACACACATGAGAATATATGATGCAAGATGGAATACAACTGATGGCATAAATATTAGCATGACAATAATAATCCCTGCAGCCTGCACAGATTCAGAACGAGTTAAAAGGATAAGTCAATTATAGTGTGTATGACATAAAATGTGAAAACCAATCCTGCCAACATGAACAGATCTGAAGCTTCCCAGCATAAAAGACTGTCCTTTTCATGGGCCCTCACCAGTGGACCTTGATCATCATTGAGGCCTTTCAGAATCCCAGGAGGCGGTGGATGTCTTTAAGTAGATAAAATCCCCATATATTTATTTAAAAAAAAAAAAAAAGCAAAAAGCAAACTAGACATTTTAAAACCTATTAATTTTAATGACTGGAAAGTTTAATGACATAAAACCAGCAGTTAAGACTTCAAAAAGGAAATAAAGCCACTATTTCCTACTAAAAGCAAGCACAGAGTAATAATTAGGCACAATATTAACAAGTCCTCCATAAATAAACTACCACAAGTACTGGAAATGTCTCACCCTGATAGACTCACCAAGTCTTAAATTTGCATTTGCAGTACCATTTATTCAGACAAATGAGGTTTTAGACCTCTGTTCTGTTTTCTACATCAAAGAACGAGTTCTTGGCTTTTTTCTGTGATACAGTATAACCTTGCTTATCCAGCTATCACACACAGGCAACACCTGAAACCTTTGGATAATCTGGAATTTGGATAATTAGGAAACTAGATATCTGTCTTTGAAGCCTATATTTGCGTCAAATCTTCTGAGCAAAGGCTTTAAATTTAAAGCCTGCTGAATTGATTCCTGCCAATTATAGAAACATGATTGCTCTCTTTCAAGACTAGCCTTTTCAGCTGGACTTTAGCAGCTGGAGAAGGAAAAGCCCAAGAGACATATTAAAGGTGAAGAGGAGAAAGCTGAAGGCCAGATTACCCACAGTGATCTGCCATTTGCATGTCTTAGATACTGAAGTACTGCTGGCATAGGTTTGGGGAACAATTGTCAGGCTTCAATTTTATATTAATCACATATTCTTTTCTCATCCCTCTCCTTCCTTCAATTGATGAAGCACAATTCATCTTGAAGAGTTTAGAAAACATTTGGAAAAGCATTCAGTAGCTCTCCTATCTGAAAGAGCCTTGGTTCTGGATAAGTTGGAGTGTCTGATTCAAGAATGGTGAGTACTGGAGTAGTTACACTGAAAACTACCGCTGAGCGCCCTGTATTCCTGGTTGCACACACCAGGGGCAGCAGGCTGCCAGACCAGCATGCTCTATAAACCCTGTGATCCACAAAAAGTATCTGTATTTGTTTATAGGAATGTTTGTTATCACAGATTAACCCCTGCTGGAGGTTAATCATACAATCTGACAAGCAGGCTGTTTGCCAATAAAACAGAAAAGTTGCTTTCTAATGCAGATAAAACTGCTGGTTTCTAAGCTTTTCTGATCTTTCATTGAAGGTAAATGAATAAAAATAAGTCCATAAATAGGAATATGACCAGGACCAGCTTGCTTTAGGTGATTTGATTTTCAAATACTCAAGAAGAAGACAAGCTGAGTTCTTGTGATGTGCTAATTTTGTAGAGTTAGAGACCAAGTAATCCAGTATTACTGTGCCTTGAGAGTTTGAAGGAACTATGTTAACATAATGAGGACTTGGAAATAAGCTCTAGAAATTGATTTATCCTGGCAGTAATCAAGATGACCGGCTAGCTTCTTTAGCTGATTGAAACAAACACAAGATCATATGGATGCATTAGGAAACCAGAACACAGGGGCTCAGAAGAAATGTTAGTATTTAACCACGCTGATGCTCATACCTGGAGATGGTGATAGTCAAGAGACAGCATGAAGGTTTTTTTAATATATGGCTTTTATTAGTTTCTTGAACCCCATATTATATAGGAACTCAGACATTGCAATCAGGCATCTTCATTTCTTAGGGATCAGGATAGGTTTAGCTATTCTGATCTCTCTTCTTTGCATATAATAATAAGAACCATAATTCTGTAAATCATAATTCTGTAAATATATCTACACATAAATTAAACAAAAGTGTTGTTTTATTCACACATCTAGTATAAAGTTTTATGATACTCCAGGGGAAATTCTGTTAACTAAGTAATTACAAAATTATTTCACGTTTCTTTTATCATCAATTTTTCAATACAAATGTACCTTATTTTGAACTTCACTTAATCTTTCATCTCTGCCCTTATAATGCAAAAACACGGTAAAGAACCCCCAAAACCCACCACCTAGAAGGATCATCTGTGATTAGATTAGTAAGAAATGCATAATATGTATTCACTTTTTGATAATTTCATGAATACTCTCCTCTTATGACCTAGAGGGTCACAGAGTTAGCTTTCACATCTTTAGAGTGAAGGGTCTGGTAAGATCTGAACAGCTTGGCTTTCTTGTTAATCAAGTTAACTGGTTTTACTCCTCACAGTTATTGGATCAGCCTTTGACCTTGTTGTTCCACTGCTTACACATCCATAATTCAACAAATAGTCTTAACAGTATGACTCAGGAGTGGATCAGAGCATTTTACAAGAAGACGTATCTCTATATAATCTAGCAAATCAAAAGGGCAAATAAGACTGTATCATAGTGGTTACAGGACCCCACTGCATTGATGTCTGTTGGCCAGTCATTTACAGCAAGTAGCTTTTGAGATATTATCTTGTTGCCCTAATTATTTCTCTGAGTAATAAACTTTCATTTTTTTAAATGCAGGAAAGCTCCAGAGGTTTTCTGCAATGAGATTTCAGTGTAAAATGTAATAATTTGTTCTAAATGTTGCTCAAAATCTTTGGATAACAATAGGAATAATTTATTTGCTTTATGGTAAAAGAGATATATTTCCCCTTAAAACCTAACAAAGCATTTTCAAACATTCAAGGTCAGGCTGGATGGGGCTCTGAGCAACCTGATCTAGTTGAAGATGTCCTTGCTCACTGCAGGAGGGTTGGACTAGATGACTTTTAAAAGTCCCTTCCAACCCAAACTATTCTATGATTCTGTATTTTTTTTCTATTGAAATATTCATGTGGATGGGTATTTTCTATCATGCCTTGGTATGAATTAATCAATATTGCAGTCTCTTACAAATAACCTGAGAGCCTTTTTTTTTTTTTTTTTCTTTTAACACATTAAAACATTAACAGAATGCATTAATGTATTCCCCGATTAACTTCACAGAACCTTACTGGTAGGTAGCCAGATCCTGAGTTTTTTGCTGTGACATAAATGATCAAATTATTAGATTTGACTATAAACCCAAAAGCTATGTGTGAAGGAGGAACCTGGGACAAAAGTAGGGTGTCAGCCTCAGCTGAAACCTCCTGCTTTTGCTAAGAATGTATGGATTCGGGAATCCAGGAAGTTGGAGGGGATTGAAGAAGTCTAAGCAGGTCAGACACACCATTACAAAACTATAGTCCAAAGTACATGATGAACTTCCTGACTCCCTCCACTTCTGTTGAGACTCTTCTCTATGGGCACATCCTGAAGAGCAGCTACTAGCCATGAAGGTCCAACAGAAAAGGTGTTAGTACCAAAGCTGCTGTGGAAGCCACTCTAACTTATCCCCTCCCCCCCCATTGCAATTGATTTTGTTTCTGATGTAAAGGTGATGGGGGAACAAAAGCTGAAACAAGTTCAGTTAATTTCCATCAGAAACACATGCAGGATTGCCCTTAATGTAGCACTTGTGGTGTCTTCCCATTTTCCTTAACATTACTATTTCCATGCAATTTAAAACATTAAGACCAACACACAAAATGACAGAAAACCAGTCCTGTCAAATTTAAGGTTAGTTTGAACATTTGCAAAATGGCTCTTTGAAAATTTAAGGGCTCGTGTCTGCTAGTTAGTTCTCTGTGTATGCTCCAATTTAATATTGTATTTATGCTGCACATTTTTTCACACTAGCTTGGGTATCTTTTGCACTGCACAGCTGGATACAAGAAGTTAGCATTCAGGCCAGCTGCAGAATGGCATGTGAGAAATGTTTTCCAACACATTGAGTAAATGATTGATACTGGCAGCTGTCCAAGTCTCCATGCAGAAATTGTATTCAATTAGAAGGATGATTAGTGTTCTGATTAAGATTTATTACCTTTATTCTACTTTATTAATTATTGTTTCTAAGTCATTTCCTTCAGGACATAATGATTAGCATATATTCATGGAGGCACTTAAAAGTAACCAAAGTAAATTGTATAAAAATCACTGTTGATAGCACAGTACATTTCAGAGGTACTTAACAATCCATGAATAGTGTTGAAAAACATCTGGCAAAGATGGGTTACATGCTGTATAGCTCAGTTGGCTCAGCATTAATTAGCACCATTAGAAGGAAGCTTACTCACAGGTACTCACTCACCTCCTCACAGTACTTCAGGTCAACTGATTTGCCATCACTGCGAACACAGTCAAGCATCCGTGTTTTGATACCATTACCACAGACAGCCTTCTCACTGAGCTGACATGTGCTCCAGTCTGGAAAAAAAGAATTCATTAGTGTAGCAGACATTGTGGATAAAACTCATAATGATCCAATCTCCCACCTAATTCTAATTTTGATGGCCTAAAATAATCCTTACAAGCAACTTTTACACAGGCAAAGGCTCACAGAGCCCAGCTGCTACACAGTTTTGAAAACAGAGACATTACTACAAATAGTCAGTGCCGTGATGCCTTCCTGAAAAGTTCATATTTGGCTTTGTCTGCATGGATTTTGAGCAAAGAAAAACATTTCCTGGAGTTACAGCATGCACACTTCACCCAAGCTGCAAAGCCTCCAGTAATATTTTATTTGTATCAAAGAACCTGAATCAGTTTTCAGTACAAGCTCCATAGCTCCCTCTGGAGAACAGAAAGCTGAAAAATCTGTCCTGTAAGGTGAATGGAGGTAAGCCATAGTCCCAGGCTGTCACTAAAGTGGAACACCCCAAATACCTGTCACATTGTAGTCATAGTGGTAGCAGTTTTTGTTCAAAGTGCAGACTTCTGTCTCAGTGGCAGCAGGACAAGACTTTCCATCATCTGGTTGTCTGAGGGATGCAGCGGACCTTTCGCGGACACTACTTCCATTGCATGGCTTGAAAGGGAGATTGAAACAGCTTTGATATTTTGGCACCCTGGTACCTTATAACAACCTTTCAAGTAATCCCTTCACAAAGCACAAATGTAAAATAGTGGGCTTGTACTGATGTGCTCCATTTCCTTGTTATTTCAGAGATAATTTAGTCTGCACTTTCACCTTGGTACCACCCAAGGTGAAATATCCTCTAACTTGCTAACACCTCGGTATTTTCCTAACTAGTTTACATTTCAGAACTAGTGCTTTGGAACTATTTCACTCATAATCTGGATATTGAGATGCTCACTTTCCAAACACTATAATGTAGCGTACTGGAGCCCAAATACTCAGTGGTCCTGAAATACTTTTTTCTATTTGGTTTGGATTTTTGACCTTTCTTTTTGAAATTGCTGGAAGGAAGGGGAGAGGAGACCCAAAATTATGTTTTAATGCTCAGTCTTGATCTGCAGACTTTGCTCGTTACAGGATAGTGACATTTTTAGTACAGTGACTGCACTGCTCTGGAGAGGCTCACAGCCAGGCTCAAAGACAGACTCACAAGCCACTGCCAAAGCAATTCCACCACATAGAACCCATCCCACACTGAAGAAGGACCACTGAGGACTTTGTATTTTGTGTTTTGGAACAATTTCACTTAATGGAAAATACTGCCACTCTTCATTTGCAACCAGCTATCAATGATCCTAAAGATAACAGTAAAGATAGGTATTTACACATGTAATCATTGCTCAGTTCAGCATCTTTGCACCATACATCATGTATACATTTTTAAAGTATCCTCCTAAAACTATAAATGTTATACTTCAGTATACTAATATACTGGGTTTGTATAGCAAGGTTTTGGTAGAGGGGGGACATAGGGGTGGCTTCTGTGGGAACCTGCCAAAAGCTTCCCCCATGTCCAACACAGCCAATGCCAGTCTGCTCCAAGATCAACCCACAGCTGGCCAAGGCCGAGCCCATCAGTAACGCCTCTGTGATAACATCATTAAGAAAAAAAAAAGGGGAAGAGAAAAAAAGCTGCACACTTTGCAGCGAGAGAGAGGAGTGAGAAGATGTGAGAGAAACAACCCTACAG